AAGAAAGAAAGTAGGAAAGAAAGAAAGTAGGAAAGAAAGAAAGAAAGAAAGAAAGAAAGAAAGAAAGAAAGAAAAAGAAAGAAAGAAAAAAGAAAGAAAGAAAAAGAAAGAAAGAAAAAAGAAAGAAAGAAAGAAAGAAAGAAAGAAAGAAAGAAAGAAAGAAAGAAAAAAGAAAGAAAGAAAGAAAGAAAGAAAAAGAAAGAAAGAAAGATATACAAGGATAGTTGGGACAATTGTACTGCTGATATCTATTGGTTTACTGAAAGAAACAGTTAATGTTTAAATTTTTTGACCAATTTTGCATGCTTATATCTGGTAATCTGAACAACTATTTTAAAGACAGCAGTATGCAATATAACAAACATTGTTGAATTCCTACCATCCTGTTTAGTGAAGCTCTGTATCATTTCTAATGCGTTTTTATTATTTTTATTCTCTTTAATTGTTTGATCAATCTTGCATTCTTACATCTGGTAATCTGATCAACTTCATTGAAAATAACAATATGTAATATAACATCCATTGTTAATTTCTTATTATCTTGTTTTGAAATTATGTATTGTTTTTATTGTTCTTGTGTTGTTTTTGTTATTGCTATTGTTTTTTCTCTTTAAAATTAAAGAAGAGTCTGGAGATATTGTAAAGTCTTGCTTTTTATCTTTTTATCTTTTTCTTTTTCTTGGTTTTGTTTTGTGCTTAGGGTTCAGCTCAAATAGAATGAAGAGACCTTTTGTTTGTATGAACATCTCTCTAGCTACATTCTATTTTACAATGAAGTGATTTTGATTTTACTTGTTAAGAGTATTTTGGTACTTCACCCTATTCAAATTAAATGGTTGGACCCAGTCACTGTATTGTAGGTAGAGGATTCTCACTGGTTATAACAGTATTCAGAGATCCAGCCATCAGTAATCATAAACATTAAAGGACTGGGGATTTAGCCTGCCTGGCAAGCGCAGTGTTGTAAGTTTGATTACTGGTGCCAGAAGGAAAACAAAAAAAAAATTATAAACATTAAAAATTGTTTTAACACTTTCATCCCTTTTTTAGTGTCATTTGAAGACTATCATGCTATTATTGGTAGTTGGTCTGGGATTTGGAAATAGGAGGGAAGGAAGGAGAAAAGGGAAAGAAGAAGGTAAGTTAGGAGGAGGAGAGGGAAATGAAAGAAATAGTAATGGGTTAAATATAAATGAGAACTGAAACACGGCTGGAGATATTTTTACAGCTGGAAGGGGTTTAAGAGACTATTTGTAATAGTAGCAGACTATTTGCAGTTTAAGAGACTATTTGTAGTTTAAGAGACTATTTGTAGAGGCAAGGGAAGTATACAGTAGGATAGAATGTAATTAGAGTTTGGGGGAACCTGTAAGGTTACTAGAACCTATTAACATATATTTGGTTACTTCTATGTGAACTCTGTAGGCACAGTTCTGCTAAGGGTTACCCTGACATGATCACAAATTGTGCCATTCAAAGTAAAGTACTGATTTATTCTTAACCTTTTTGTATATATACAGGTACACGTGTGTGTGTGTGTGTGTGTGTGTGTGTGTGTGTGTTATGAAAAGTGGAGAAGATGATGGGGGATGAGTAAAGTGAGAAAGAGAGAAGAAAATAGACTAAGAAGGAAAAAAGATTGAAAAGAGAACTGAGATAAAAGAACAAACGTGAGACAAATAAAAGGAAAAAACTTGAGAAATAAATAAAAAGTAAAATGAAACCCTGAAATATAAATATTGATACAGAAGCAAAAATCAAGAAAACATAAAGAGAGAAAAAAGGAAGGAAGGAAGGAAGGAAGGAAGGAAGGAAGGAAGGAAGGAAGGAAGGAAGGAAG